AGAATGTATGAGCAAGGAACAAGGCTCTGAGAATTGATGTAATACAAATTGCAATATTTCCTCAAACTGATGAAGCATTGAAGTCACTCACTCATCTATGCCAAGAAATTTGGAAGACCTGGCCAACTGATTAGAAGAGATACATATTGGTGTCCATTCCAAAGAGAGGTGACCCAGCAGAATGCATAAATTGTTAGAAAATATCATCAATATCACATGCAAGTAAAATTTTGCTAAAGATAATTCAAAATTGGCTTCAACAGTGCATCGAAAGGGAAGTGCAAGATACTTAGTTTGGATTCAAAAGAAGACATGAATTGAGGGGTATCAATGTTGATGTCAGATGTTGGGTAATAGCATAGAATATCAGAAAGATGATTACCTGCACTTTATTACCTATGGAATGGCTTTTGATTGTGTAGATTATGACAAACTATGGATGTCCCTGCAAAGTTGTCAGTTTGAGGACTAAGATGTATGTTACATAAGCCATGGTAGTTTCAATAGCCTAATATCTATGTCCTGCTGTGGCACTGTGGGTTAATGTGCCAGACTGCAAAGCTATTTGAACTGCAAGGTTGGTGGTTCAAGCTCACTAGCTGCTCTGTGGAAACCCTATCCAGGATCACTATGGGTCAGAATCGACTTGACAGCACTTAACAACAACAATTATGTCTATGTAGGAGTCCTAGTGTGGTGCTGTGCATTAATGTGTTGGACTGAAAAGTCGATGTCAACTGCAAGGTTGGTGGTGCAAGCTTACCAGTTGCTCCTGGGAAACTCTACATAGGGTTGCTGTGAGTCAGAATTGATTTGACAGCACTTAACAACAAAACATGTATGTGAACATTGGACAATGAATAAAAGAGACCATAGAAAAATTTGCATTTGAGTTATGCTGTCGGAGAAGAATATTAAAAGTATCATGGACCACTAGAAGAACAAACATCTGTATTTGCAGAAGTACAGCCAAATGTTCCTTAAAAACCAGGATGATTAACCTTCATCTCTCATACTTTGGGCATGTTATCATAAGGGATCAGCTCTGGAGAAGGATCTCAAGCTTGGTAAAGTGGAGCGTCATAAAAAATGAGGGAGAACCCAGTGAGATTGATTGGCATAGTGGCAGTGTAAAATGATTGTGAGGATGGCACAGGACTGAGCAATGTTTTGTTATTTTGTGCGTAGGGTCGCTTTGAGTCAAGATGGCACCTAAGAAGAAGAACACTAGTATATAGAGATTCTTCCTTTAAAAATAATATTGACTTTTAGATTAAACTATCTCATTTATTTAAATTTTTGTTGAGAATATTTAAAAAAAAAAAAAACATGTAACTACAAGAATGTAAAACATAATACCTCCAAGAGGAGTATAAGAAAGTGCTGTGATATTTCAAAGGTGTGCGATCTCTCACACATTGTCTAGTAGAGAAATGTTTCATGCAAATGTTGTCATTTAAGGTGACTAATTTTGGAATATTAGAATCTAAACAGAAATGGTAGGTATGGATGTAAAGCAAAGATCCAGCATGAAAGAACCTATGAAAGGAAATTTGTCGATCTTGAGGGCAGCCTGAGACCTTGGTGAGAAATAAACTTTAGGGGACATTGGGCTTGCATTAAGGAGGGGAGGTACTCATTATGTTTCCAGGTATCAGTGTTGACTTATACAAAGTTTTATGAGCATTATTCAGTGTTTGATAAGACTAATCTTGAAAGGGATTTTCTGATCCTTTGAGTGTAGGGACATAGGATGGAGGATACTCTCTGTTTGGAGGACCACAAAAGTGTAGAAAGTACATAACACCATTTCTTTTGTTTAATTCTGGGAAGCTAACACTTAGAGATTTTAGTAGTTTTATTAGATTTTAAGTATTTTATGTCAAATGATTTTTCCTTTATAATATTCTATTTCCTACCTCCTGGACTACTCTATAACAATCCTAACAATATTAAGCTGAGCATTACAATGGATATAGTAATGTGTTCAGAGTCAGAACACTGATACTTGATACCATTTCAGATCCAAATTTCTGAGTTTTACAAGCCATGGATGGGAATGAAAATTCTTGGACATAATTATATGGTAAATAAGATTTTCAGTTAAGCCTATAATGCTATTATAAATCTTCCAGTTGACATGGATAAATTAAATGAATTATAGATATGACATCAAGAATTAACATAGTTGATAATACTACACACTTCCTACAGCCATCATTGGATGACATGCACAAATAATAGCACTCAGTTACAGAATATGTGAAAGAAAGAGCACAGGATTTTAAATGAGTTTGGGACTACAGGTCCCATTATAGTACTGATGTTCTGTATCATTCTGCCTTTATGAGATTTAGATTTTTAAAATATTTTTTAAGAAGAGTGAGAATATTCTTGATAAATATCAAACATAAAAATATGCTTCACAAAGTGGAAAGTGCAACTTAAAAATTATAATTTGTTCACAAAAATGGTGAGGTTTGCTTTTTGACAGATGTGCTATGTAACAAACCATATGATTAATTTCCATGTACACCTTGATAGAAAAGCTGAAGTGTAATGTACAAAAACAAAGGGAAAAACAATAAAACATAAAGAAAAGCATGCATTGTGACAATATTTTAAAGAAATTCGAAGCTCCAAGGAAGAGTTAGTATATAATATGGGGAATATGAATAATAAAGTAATTTGAAAATTCCTCCTAGTTTAATACTGTTACTTTCATGCTTGTCCAACAGGATTTAAAAAGATTGTTGTTGTTAAGTGACATTGAGTTGGTTCCAAGGGTTTCCAAGGTGGGTTTGAACTCCTAACTTGTGGTTAGCAGCCCAGTGCTTAGCCTACAGCGTCACACACAATGGCTCATCTTAATTCCCTAGTGTGAAGAAACTGATGATGCAAGTTTCCTAAGTTGTTTCCTGAATTTAAACCCAGGCAGCCTGGCCTTGGAAGGGAAAAAGTAGTCCATCACTTCACTTGGCTGATATGGTTCAAATTTACTCTCTGTTGAAGCAAAAAAGGTAGGAACTCTCCATGATTTGCATTTCTCTCTTGGCCTGGGATGTGGCTATATATCATATCTCTTCAGGCCTTTATAAACATGCAAAATAAGGAGCAAACAATCAGATTGTTGTTTGATCGACTATTTTATTCTAACTTTAGTCTTCCTAGAGTCCCAGTTTTTTTCTTTTTCAAAACTTAGGTACTATATATTTTATTCATTTTCCTGTGTGTCTTAGTTTTTTTGTGTATTTTCCTCTGCACATTTTCTAATTCAGAGTACAGTAACACCAAGGTAAGCTATACCTGGCTATGGTGCTCCTAATCTTTCCATAGCTGAGAACTTAATTTTCTCCATTTCAGATTAAGTGACTCAGGTGTGACTTAAGTATTTCAATTGGAAAATTAAAAAGTAAAATACTCAGGCAACCAGTTGCTGGGCAAGCCTGCAAATTTATAGAGTGAGGAATTTTGATACTTTTCTAAGTGAATAGAGATACAGATGTGGAGAAACCTCTAGGCTTGGCTATACTTTGTGTATACTTTTACTCAGCTGCTCCATTTAAACTCTTAAACTTCAATTACTTATTCAATCAGTGTGTACAGAGCATATAACATATTAGGAGATGTTTTGAGTGCTAAGTGGCATCTACAAAAGGAAAACAGCAGCTAATCTTTCATCTAGATATTATCAAGATCATCTGCAGTTTCTAATATATGATATTTAGAAAGAAGATTATATTTTCTTTTGTCAAATTAAATCCCATTTCCTGTAAAATCCATTATAAAGGAAATGGACCTGACAGTTATTACGCTGGACTGCATAGTCAGTTTGAATTGTAAGGTCGGCAGTTCAAGTATATCAACCACTCCTTGGAAACCCTATACAGGGTTGCTGGGGGTCGGAATCGACTCAATGGCACTTAACAACAACAACAACAACAACAACAATTGAGCACACTGCTGCTCCCCTGTACTGCCCCTCCTGCCCTGAATTGCTCTTCCACAGCAACTGGACTCCTCCTTTGCTCCTGACGCACAGTGGTGTTGTTTACTGAGTATGTGAGGAACAGATGAATAAAGTTGAAATGTGCTACTGAGGGCAAGGGAGCATGATGACTCTGTAGGATAAACACTGGACTGCAAACCATACTGCACTATAGAAGAAAAATTAAACTTTCTGCTTCCGCAAAGATTTGCAACCTCAGATATCCAAATAGGGTCACTGTGAGTTGGGAACCAACTCGAGGTCACTTAACAACTACAAAAGTAAGGGGAAGAGTATTAACACATATAACGGCTAGAAGGTATTTGAAGAGATTTCAATGGACCTTCAAATTTTCAGAGAATTTCAATTATGTTGGTACTAGCAATGATTTTAATATAACATTAGCATCGGTTATTTCTTCTATTCCTGAGCATCTTTGATGAGTTAATGTGCTCAAAAGTAAAGTGGGAGCTTTAGTAAATTGCTTAGTTTAATGCTAACAGTGTTACAGACTTAATATGCATTTCTGCATTTTATTTTTTTAACCATCTAGGAGGTGTTGTTGTTGTTGTTGTTGTTAAGTACTGTAGAGTCAGTTTATCCTATGAGGTTTGTTGCTGTTATTAAGTGCCATCGAATCAGTACCAACTCATAGTGACCCTATGAACAACAGAACGAAACACTGCCTGATCCTGGGCCAACCTCACAATTGTTGCCCCACGCTTGAGAGGCAAGTCCTATGAAATTCTCAAATTGAGGGGAAATAAGTATGACTCCAAGTAAAACTTTAAATGCCTGGTTTCCTTATACAAAAAAAGGGGGTTCACCACCTGACCCTACTCCTAATCATTTTGTTGCCAGTGTAGCCTTTCTGAGATTTGAGGTCATGACTCCACAGTAGTTCAATCTGCTTTTGGTTACATAGCTAAAAGCATATATCATTCTGGGAAAATGGTCATTTCAAAACAATGACTCTTATTTCCTTCCCCAGGTAAATATTTTAAGTTGGACCATGTACACAGGAAATCAAACTTCAAGCAATGATTTCATCCTGGTGGGGCTCTTTGGTTCAACAAAGCTTGCAGTTCTCCTTTATAGTGTGACTTTCATCTTTTTCTTGATGGCCCTAAGTGGGAATGCCCTCCTCATCCTCCTGATCCACACAGATTCCCGCCTTCACACCCCCATGTACTTCTTCATCAGCCAGCTCTCTCTCATGGACCTCATGTACATATCTGTGACCGTTCCCAAGATGCTTGTGGGCCAGGTAACAGGAGATAATACAATTTCCCCCTTAGGTTGTGGGGTCCAGATGTTTTTCTACCTGACCCTTGCTGGAGCTGAGTTTTTCCTCCTCGCTGCCATGGCCTATGACCGATATGCTGCCATTTGCAGACCTCTCCATTACCCATTGCTCATGAACCAGAAAGTCTGCCAGCTCCTTGTATCTGGATGCTGGTTCCTGGGAACAATAGATGGTTTGTTGCTCACTCCAATTACCATGAATTTCCCCTTTTGTCAGTCCAGGAAAATCATGAACTTCTTCTGTGAGGCTCCTGCCCTGCTGAAACTCTCTTGCTCTGAAATTTCACTATACAAGACACTCATGTACTTGTGCTGTGTCCTTATGCTCCTCATCCCTGTCTGCATTATCTCTACCTCTTATGCCTTTATCCTGCACCTCATCCACAGAATGAATTCAGCTGAGGGCCGTAGGAAAGCCTTTGCCACATGCTCCTCCCACATGGTGGTAGTGCTGCTCTTTTTTGGTGCCTCCATCTACACCTACATGCTCCCCAGATCCTATCACACAGCTGAGCAGGACATAATTGTGTCTGCCTTTTACACCATCATCACTCCTGTGCTGAATCCCCTCATTTACAGCCTCCGCAACAAAGATGTCACAGGAGCCTTAAAGAGCATGATGCTGTCAGGATTGAGATTGGGAAAGTTGTAAATGTATAAACATAGGAATGACTATATCCTTGTTCCCAGTCCTTCTTTCTGATACTCCCCATATCTGATCTCACTCAATTCTCTCGTTCCAGGACCCCAACATAAAGTCCTCCTTGATCTTCCATCTGTGTCTTGCATGTGGTATTTTTTTTCCTTTATATTATAGTACTCATCCTGATTTATCTCTGATATTTAAATTCCTTAAAATCAAAGTCCTTTTGTATCAGATACAGTAGTTAATATGGAAAAGACCATGGAGAGTGCCTTGTATTTTATCTCCCATCCCAATTTTATTGACCATTTTAGTGTGAGCTTTGGGGAGTCAAAGCTTTAAATCTAGAAGTGGATTACTATGAAGAATTTATATGCTAGAAACCTGAAAATTACAAAGTTCACTTGTGCCAGTCACTGCATTTCTGTGTCTGCATTTGTTTCTTCAGTAAGTCCATCTGAATACATTTTTTTTTTTTCTTCAAGTGTTAAAAATGAGTTTAATGTTGTTTGGCCATTCAAATGGCTAGGATGAATTATCAGTCACTCTAGAATGTTAGTAAGTTCATCTAATTTTGCAAGTCATAAGGTTGTAAATAAATGTTTAGATTCTTTAGGCTTAAACTAAAATACACACTCTTGGAAAGGGTAGGGGGAATTAGGAAATCTTAATGTCAACATTTTACTTCTGAAACTGGGGCAAAAAACACAATGGTTTTAGATTTGTTATCAGTCTTAATTCTTATCATAGACATCATGTACGTACCAAAATTTACTTCTGTAAATCTATCAGTAGTATAAAATCATTACTATTTTCACAAACAAAATGATTTAAGAATCTAGTGTCTCTGGGATGCAACAAATTGGGAAATAAATGCATTCGCTCATATTAATGTGCAGCAAGGTGTTTTGGGTCCTAGCTTATTCTGTTAGTACCAAATGGCCCAGAATCTTGACCTTATCTTCTTTACAATCAAGAAGTGTAACTCAGGGGTTTCCATATTTACTGAATTTTCAATTAATTCACAGGTACTACTATTTATTACACCTGAGCCAAACACAGTTGCTTCTTGACTGATGAGTATTACTAAACTGTGTAAGAGCAGTGTGTCTAAATTTAGAAATAGCACTATCACGTCTGAATAAAAGAAAAACACCTGAAAAATAAGAGAAGATTGGATACAGATAGGTAAAACTTAATTTTAGAGATCAGTTAAAGTAACAAGGAGTAAACCTGCTCAAAGTGACATTGTGGATGAGACACTAATTAACCCTGCAGTTGTTGTTGTTCAGTGACCCTGTTGTTCAGTTTCCATGGAACAGCTGATAGGTTTGAACCATTAACCTTATGGTTAGCAGTCCAGTGCTTATCCAATAGTGCCATACCAGTACTCCAATCCTTGCTCGTTATCCTTCTTATTACATTTTTGATGTCATTATTAAATTTTATGTATTTTTTTTCAGAATTGTGTGTTTTGTTTATGTGCTTGTCACTTTGGAGAACACTGTAGTAGGTAACATTAAATCTAGAGCTTGAAGCAATCATTAGACTGGGGATTGTTGCAATTGACAGAATAAGTAAAAGAGAATTATGTTTAAAGTCAAGCAATCCTTGATTTCAGTTTTGGCCTTTCCACTTAAAATCTAAAGAGTGTTGAAAGATTTGTGCATTTTCTTAAGCCCACAAAGTTTCCATTATATCATTCTAAGTGGCAAAATGAAAAAAAAAAAAACAACTCAAAACTCTGAGTCAAGTGGAGAAATAAGTCTAGACAGCTCATTTTACTTGCCCCAATATGGTAGCTCCCTTTCCTCCTTTGTAACACTCTATACATGTGTATGTCTTCCCAAGGTTTGCCTTCAAGTTGAGAAATATGCAGTGATTGCAGAGTAACAGATGCCTCAGGCTAAGGCCTAAATTGGTTACACAGCAATTCTCATGATCAAATTACTTTAACTCACTGTAACTTTGCATAGAAATAGTACTGAACATAGGAAACTAGGGGAGAAAAGATTAGGCTTCTTGCTCTGTTAAAGATTTACAGCCTTGGAAACCCTATCTAGCATCGTTATGAGCTGGAAGCGATTCCATGGTACTTAACAACAACAACATAGGAGATTCAGTAAAAAATATCGATACTAGGATTCCAACTCACATGTGCACACGTTAATTGCAGACAAAACGTGTTTAAACATGTGTAGTACTGTGGGTTAATGCACCAGACTTCAAAGGCATTTGCACTGCAAGGTTGGTGGTTCAAGCTCACCAGCTGCTCCCTGGGAAACCCTATACAAGGTCGCTATGGGTCAGAGTCGACTCAACGGCACTTAACAACAACCAACAACAGCAACAACTGTGATTAGTGAATGGCTACAGTCAAGTTCTCTTGGTAGTACACTTGTCATAGTCTTGTTAGGATGCCTTTAAAAAACATGGTCCAATCAAAACAATGACTTCTAAGGGGATCTGCTGGGTTAGTTAATTCAAGGGAGAGAGGTTAACTTGGAAGGTTATAGTGTCTGCTTTTGGGATTCCCAAAGGGATAATCTTGATATTGTTTCTCAAGAACTCAGGATGATTATAGAGGCTATTTATGGAGATTTTAAGAACATCGAACACTGTATTGAAGAGAAAAAGGTCAGGAAAGTTGCACTGAGGAAACTTTTTTCCTCTATTATGACAATGCATCTGCTCAATTTTCAATATAGCAAGGGCTGTCCTACTAGAATTTTGGTGGGGAACCTTACCCTATCCATCCTGCAGTCTTGATCTCATTCCATAAGACTTCATTTTATTGTATAAACTCAAATAACATTAAAAAAGAACACAATTTTCCATTTTGATGTGGTATAAATCCAAGAATGCAGAATTCTTTATGGAAGGGTTGTTGTCCTTAGGTGCTATTGAGTCAGTTCTAAATCAGAGCAACCCTATTTACAACAGAACAAAGCACTGCCTGGTCCTATGATTTCTTTACAATAGTAAAGTTTGAGCCTATTGTTTCTGTCAATATGTTAATCAGTCCTCTTTTCGCTGACCCTCCACTTTACGAAACATGATGTCCTTCTCCAGGAACTGTTTTCCTCCTGATAACATGCCAAAAGTACAAGAGTTGAAGATGTGCCATCATTACTTCTAAGGAGCAATCATCTTCCAAAGCAGATTTATTATTCTTTTGACAGCTCATAATAATATATTCAATATTCTTTGCCATATTCATAATTCAGCTGCATCAACTTTTCTTCTCTTTTCATCATTCTTTGTCCAGCTTTCACATACATATGAGGTGATTGACAATGCAATGACTTGGGTAAGGTGAACCTTAGTTTTCAAAGTGACACCTTTGCTCTTTTACATTTTAAAGAAGTCTTTTGGAACCGATTTGCCTAATGCAGTATGTTTGATTCTTGACTGCTACTTTCATGACTACTGATTGTGAATCTAAGGAAAATGAACTCTGACAACGTCAATCTTTTATCCATTTATCATAATGCTATTTATTGGTCAAATTGTAAACATTTCTGGTTTCTTTATATTGAAATGCAATCCATACTGAAGACTGTCATCTTTGATTTTTATCAGTAACTGCTCCAAGTCCTCTTTGTTTCCAGAAAGCAAAGGGTGTGTCATCTGCATATCACAGGTAGTTATTGATCTTTCCTCCAAAATTTGATTCTGCTTTCTTCTTCATATAGCCCAGCTTCTCAGATTATTTGCTCTGCATACAGACTGAGTAAGTATGGTGAAAGGCTCCAACCCTGACATACACCTTTCGTGATTTCAAAACATTAAGTATCCTCTTGTTTTGTTTGAATGACTACCTCCTGGTCTTTGCACAGGTTCCTCATGAGCAACTAAAAGTTCTGGAATTGACATTTTTCACAATGTTATCCATAGCTTGCTCTGATCCACACAGTCAAATGTCTTTGCATAGTCAATGAAGCACAAATAAACACATTTCAGTTATTCCCTGCTTTTAGCCAAGATCCATCTGACCTCAGCAATGATACGCCTTACTACACAGACTCTTATGAATCTGGCTTGAATTTCTGGCAGCAACCTATCAATGTCAGGGAAAAGTTAGAGAGAACAATATGTGACCTTCAGAAATATATATACATAACTCAAAGGTATGTTGAGAAACAATCATTGCACATTTTAATATTTTTGTTTCATGAAGGTTTCTATGATTGTGTAGCAATAATGTTTTACTTACCCAGGTATATAGAAGTGATTTTGGTGGCTCAATGGCAAACTATGTGCTATAAATGGCAAGTTCAGAGCTGTAATCTACCAACACATATGTGGGAGAGTAGACTTGGTAGTCTGCTTCTTTAATGTTTACATCCTAGAAAACCCTTTGGGGGCTTGAAGATTAGTCTGAATGAGTAAAAGAGGAGAAATAATTTGAAAGGACTTGACTGTCTTATGGATATAGGGTTCTCTTGTCTAATATTGTAAAATAGATACATGAGTGGGGTAGAAAGGAATAGCAGGAAACATGATTACAGAAAGCTTGTAAGCCTGTCTTCAGCCTATAACTGATTGGAATGCCTAAAAGATTCTAGAACTTGCCCAGTGAAATAGGCCTCTTACAGAGCCTTTGTAGTGTATAGGACCTTAGATGGAATCCTGAGCCCCATCCAGAACAGTCTGAGGTAGGATATTAGCACTTGAAAGGATATGAAGACCAGTCTGGAGTGGCTAGAAGAACAGAAGATACTTCTTAAAAGAAAGACTAGCAGGAAAATTCAAGACTAAAACAGTAGTCTGATTGACTACTACAAGAACAAGCAAGTTGTTCACCAGGGAGCCATCAAGGCAAGTAATTAAGTCCCTTCAGGACAAACCCCCATCCAAAAATGAAAGTTAAAGGGAACAGAGAAACAGGCATGTAAATTGGTTGGCAATGACATTGGTCTACTTGTGAGTGAAATGGAGAAAGGAAGCAATGAAGATATATATGGGCTGTGTTCAACCACGTCCCATAGATACCTCTCAACCTGGAG